CTGCTATGAGCGTTGCTTAGCGCCTCCATGTTGACTGTCTATGTATGCTCTTATACCTTTGCCGATCAAACAGCATGGAGCAAAACGCCGCCAATCAACCGTCCCAACTCACTGACGTGGTGAAGGTGAGAAGGGCAGAGGAGAACGAGTTACACCTGATCATAGAGTGGTGGCTTCAGGATTATTCTTATTGTACGTGCGACCACGAATCCCTGAAGATGATGCACAGGTTTGCAGGCAACGGATCGCTCTGCGCCTATCAGCGTGAAACTGGCCAGCCAATCGGTGGGTGCATTCATATGCCTCGTCATGGCTAGTAGATGCTATTGTAGTGTCAGGAGTGTATAGTATAGAAAGGTCTCTATAATTTATAATTATTATGCACTCCTGGGGCCGGTTTCACGAAGCGTGATTAACTTTAATTATGATTAAATCACTAATCATACTTATTATTGTACCTGTAATTAATACTTAAAAATCTGTTTCACGAAGAGATTTAAGTACATATTTAACTAATCACATAATTAGCCGACTTAAACATGAATTACACTGTATTCAAAATGGCGGACAACGCCAAAAGTACCTGCAAATTTGGTACATGAAAAGGAATTAATTTGCAATTATAATGACTAAATTAGTACAGCTAATCTTAGATAATTTAAATTTTCTTGGGAAAAAATGGAAGTAAAATTTCCAATTGTAAAATCTGCAGCCTACTTAATATACTAATACTACCTACATACTACTATACTAGTACTAGCAACTAATCATGATTAGTGGATTTAATCATGCTCCTGAGTAAAATTAAATATTGTGATTAACTTAATCATGATTAAAGTTAATTAACCTTCGTGAAACAGTCACTTCAATTTAAGTACGAGAAGTTAATCATGATTAGTGATTTAATCATGATTAAGGACTTAATTACGCTTCGTGAAACCAGCCCCTGCTAGTATGCAGGGGTCGAAATTAACTTTTGAACAATGGAGTCCAACGGACTCCCTACCCTCAAAAAGAGGCAGTCCGCAGCAAAATGAGGGAGTCCGCAGTCTGAGGTTCAAAATTAAAGATATTAACAATAACGCATGTGCTAATTTTTAAGATTCATGCAGTTCCATGTCTGCCAAAAATTTCTTTAGACATTAGCTGAAAAAAATACAGTAATTCTGCGGTGCCGTGCTTCGGAACAAACTATAGTTAGTATGGCAGAATTTTCAGGGAGTCACACGGACTCCTGCATATGTCAAATCAGGGAGTATTTGACTCCGGACTCCCATTAATTTCGCACCCTGGTATGCATGTGCGCATGCCTCATCAGAGCTAGTCACTGTTATATTATTATAGTATGTATGTGTGCATACATCGTGCAGCTAGTCGCTGTTGTTATAGTATGTGTGTACATGTGTGTGGGTGCGTGTGGGCCTATGCGTGAGTGTGTGCATGCATGCATGCGTGTCTGTGCATACCTCATCACAGCTCTAGCTCCTGTTGTTATTGTGTGCGTGTGTGCATGCTTCGCCATAGCTCTAGTACTATATAGCCCTTGTTCACCACAGGTGTGTCCCACACCAGTGGTGATCAAGGGCTATAGTACTAGAGCTAACTTCGTCAGAGCCAGTTACTGCGAGCTAGGTGTATACTTTGAATCCGTGACAGATTTCAGTTCAGTCCTACTATGCTTGTTCGATTACCTTTCCTGCCCGGTGCCCATGGTAATCAGTGGTAGTTGTCGAAGTGTACCTGTCAATCAAATCAATAGTATCATTCCAATCTAAAGAGCATGTCATTGTCACTTCAGGCTTCCTCATGGTAGCAAACCTGAATGAAGACGTGGCAATGGCCGGCTGGTTCATAGTGAAGGATGCTTGGCGCGGAAAGCGTGTGGGTCAGCTTCTCGTCGAGAATCTACGCACGCATTGCGGCGCAAATCGCAATCTTGCGATTAATGCGGTGCCGCAAAATGTGAAGCTGTACGAGAAGTTGGGTTTGAAGGTACTGAAATGATAATGATAATGAGGGTATTGATGATGGCGTGGGAGGGTATGAAGGTACTAAGATGCAGCCAAGTATGGGCATAGCGACCGACTGACTCTCTTCGAATGAAAATGGCTGATGTAAGTGATTGTTGACGCAGTGTGTGCTTTTTAATCAGGGGTGG